AAAAAAAAAAAAAAAAACAACCTCAGATCTGGCCATTTACAACAACATGGATGTAGGACCTACAGGGCATGATGCTAAGTGAAGTCAAGTCAGAGAAAGACAAATACCATATGATCTCTCTTATGTGTGGAATCTAAAAAGTAAAAGTTTACAAAGAACAAAAAAGCAGAAGTAGACTCATACATACAGAGAACTGGTGGTTGCCAGAGGGAGGAGGGTGGGGGCATGGGAAAAATAGGTGAAAGGGATTAAGTACAAACTTCCAGTTGTAAGTAAGTCTCAGATAAAAAGTACAGCATTGGGAATATAGTCAATAATGTCCTAATAATACTGTATGGTGACAGATGGTAACTATATTTAGTGTTGTGAGCATCATATACAGAATTTTCAAATTAGTAAGTTGTACACTTGAAACTAATATACCATTGTATGTCAACTATATTTCAATAATAAAAGACTTCAAATTTTCTTCTTTTCTGAAGGAATCGCCAAGATATTTATGACACCTATTTGGGAAATATTCCGCAACAGCATAAATTTCTCTGGGACCCAGGAGGCATGCCAGTAGTACATTAGATACAATTTTCAAAGGAAAAGGAATCAAATATTCAGTCCTGTGCCAGTTGCCTTAAAGAATGAGAAATTTATTGGGGCGCCTGGGTGGCTCAGTCGGTCAAGCGTCCAACTTTGGCTCAGGTCGTGATCTTAGTCTGTGGGTTTGAGTCCCGCGATGGACTCTGCTGACAGCTTGGAGCCTGAAGCCTGCTTTGGATTCTGTGTCTCCCTTTCTCCCCCCTCCCCAATATGCACTCTGTCTTGCTCTCAAAAATAAATATGCTTAAAAAAAATGAGAAATTTATCAGATGATTATAGTTACAAATGGCAAACCCATATACTAATTAACATAAGGTACTCAAAAGATGGAGGGATCTCAATTTTCAACACCTTGAATTTTAATGCTCCATTCATGTGATGGTCTTAATTTCTCTCAATCTCTGCCCCTTTAATAAAAATAAATATGATACCATCCAAACTGGAAACATAAGTACCTAGTCATTTTAGGGGTTTGTTTTGTTGTTACTGTCTGCTTCATTAAAATTTGAATTTAGAAGGATGCCTTTTTGGGAAGAAGTAGCATTCTCAAGAAAGTATTCCCTATACTTGCGGACATCCTAAAGCCAGAGGCATTAAAACTCTGAGGGAGAAATGTTAAGTATGTTGCCAAAATACACAAGCTGTGGCTACAGATATTAAAACAGTACATTTCTTCCAAGTGACAAAGAGTCTCCATTATAATAAGAACACTACACTAACACTCCACATAGATTTAAGAATGAAGTCTGTGCATTCTCTCTTTGATGGGGATTCCCAAAAACCAACCCAAGGCAGAGCGCAAAGAACCTGTTTCAGGAGGCTCCTGGCTTTCCTGGGCTCGGCTGCTTGACCATGGGCATGTTATCTGCCCTCTTGGGACCTCACAGTTTTCTGTGGGCAAATCTCTAACATTCTTTCCAGCTTTACATTTCTAGAATCCATGCTCCCCTCAGAGCAGCAGGCTCTTAACCCATTTAAGAATTTCAAAGCATGTCCCCTGTGTAGTATGTGTTTAATCAGTTCCTGACATTTGACTATCATGCTCAACTCTTATTCACCAATTTCTAATTATCCTGGAAACCATATCATACCAATTATAGCATCACTGAATAGAAAAAGAATGCTATGAAATGTCACTGAGATATTAAGTTCAATCTTCAGATGTAATCAAGTTCCCTGGACTGCCACTGTAATCCAATGAATTTTATCTCCTTCTTGGCCCTCTCTGGACTGAAACTTGACTTCAACCTAGGCCTTGCAACAAAGGGAGGGTCCCAAACTTACCATGCCACTTGCCCTTATACACCGTTCCAAATGAGCCTGATCCAATCCGAGTGGAAAGCATCACTTCGCTGGCTTCTATTTCCCAGTAATAGCTTGAATCTCTCTGTCCACGAGGCCTCTGAAACCAGCAGTGATCATTAACACACTCCATAGAATGGTAAAGCTCTGTCTGATGAGGGTGTCAAAGAAAAGATCAACCCAACCGACCCATTCCCCTATCTTTTAAAGATAGACATTAACTGTAATTCCAATTTCGATATTTTGAGAAAAATACCATTTTAGTTGTGCCCTCCCTTACAAGTCAACAAATTTTCCAACGCAAGCATACCAAAAATGGCACTGACATTTATAACATCCTTAATTAAATGTTTTATTACAGTTCCCCTCTCCCCACCAAATTAAAAGTATTCTCATTTTAAAAATATTCTCACTTCTGACTAGGTTTTTCTTAGTAAACCCTAACATACGATGCAGGAGGTACTGTAAGCCATACTCACGATTTTGTTTTTCTCCTGGGTCCCGGATCCTGGTGCCCTCTCTCTGTGTGCTGGCACAGGGGTTTTGGGCTGTGACCAGCCCGTTGGGCTCAGATTGTTAGGGCTGCTGGACAAGGCTGAAGGTGAGGCTTAATAGACAAGACAAACAGAATCCACACATGGATAAGCCAACAGAAGATACACAGCATAAAGAGAAAAAGCCCATTATTATTTGCTACATAACTTTGGACAAGTACCTGATTCACTGTGGCTTCGAATTGCATCCTGAAACAGAAAAGGAAAGCTGGTCAATTTCTGCCCCACAAAAGATGCTCTCAGGGGGAAGTAAAAGGGGGGAGGAGAATTTGCAGAAACAAAGTAGATTATAAAACCTCTAAAATACAAAAGGTCTAATTACATACTCTAACTTGCCTGTGATTAAATTTACCAATGTCAATGGCCAATTATCTCCAAGATTATCATCAATTAGAACTGGTATTAGCTTTTCATATACCACATTCTTTTGGAATGGAAATCACTTTTTCTCAGAAGAAAGCAACACACATATATAGCAAAGTGATTCTCATTAAGGAATACTAGCAAAGTTACTATCAACTGAGATCTTTCCAGTAACTGAGCATCTTGCTCCACTGAGGCTCAAAACAACAACAACAACAACAACAACAACAACAACAACAACAACAAAAACAAAAACAAAACTTGGGGATTAGGTAGCAAGCTCACTCATACTCCTCTAGGAGTTGGGGGCACACTGACCAGAGTTGGGTTTGGTAAGGGTAAGCACCACAACTACAGAACTTAATCCAAGCCTAAAATCATGAAACGCTGAAAGGACCATAAAAAGAGACTTGGCCAGGATCACATAGCCAGTAGGTGGCAGAAATAGAACCAGAAACCATCACCCATGAATCTTAGCCCTGAGCTCATTCACCACAAAATGCTCCTGAAACCTTATAGGTAAGCTCTGAAATTAGTTACATTCTACTCAGGTGAGAAGTCAAAAAGCTACCTTTAGAACTTATTAGAAACTGGGTAGAACAGTTTAAACCACAAGGGCTTCCATAAGACCTAAATATTCATTTTATAAACTCTCACTTTGAGTATGTAATTATTACATAAAACCACTAGGCCTCCATATCCTCAAAAAGGAGATTTTTCTGGGAAACCTACTATTTTATGTAACCACAATAAAGACAAGATACCTTTTTCACACAACTATTAATGGAATGTTTCCACTCCATAGCATTTTTACAAGACAAGAAGTATCCTAGGGGTGCCTGGGTGGCTCAGTCGGTTGAGCACTGATGTTGACCCTGGTCATGATCTCATAGCTCACGGGTTCGAGCCCTGCGTCAGGCTCTGTGCTGACAGCTCAGAGCCTGGAGCCCGCTTCAGATTCTGTGTCTCTCTCTCTCTGCCCCTGCCCCTCTCACACACGCTCTCTCTCAAAATAAATAAATATTAAAATAAACATTTAAAAAATGTTAAAAAGATAAAAAGTATCCTAAACCAAGCTGTCCCTCCCCCTACCTTTGGCCGCCCCACCCAAGCAATAAAGCCTGGTTCTGGGGTCCCCAAACCTGGCCAATCTTCAGAATCACCTGGAGAGGTGTTTGAGAATACAGATGTCTCCTCCCCACCCAACTAGGACTGATTAAGCATTTCTGGGAGGGAAGGTTGGAAGTCCAGGAATCTCTGTTTTTAAGTAGACTGGATAACTGCCAGTTGGCAAAACACCGGCCAAAAATAACGAGAATTTCAACAGAATATTCAGCGGCTATAGCTTTATTATCCAACTGACCTCTTTGTTTTTAGTCAAACCATGGCACAATGTATTTTTGCTGACCAAAATTATATACCCATGCACTAGGATTTTTTTCCTTAATGTCAGCAATTTTCTTCCTGTATCCATTATATACCTCATATTATACTGTGTGCTAATTTCTATAGTTGGATTTATCCTAGAAGGAACCTTTCAAATATCTTGGAATCTAAATATTAAAGAGAACTACAAGTGGTTTAAACAAAGAATGTGTACTTTAAAAAAGCTGAATCATGCAATAAAAAGGAATCAAAACTTGCTCTGCCTCTAAAGTATGAAGAGAATTAACATAGTGCCAGTTATTTTATAATAAAAATTCAAGAATCTTCACTTTTAATGTCCCAAGTATTACAGTATTTACGGAGAAACAAATCATGTAACAGAAGTCACTAGGATATTATTTATTATCAGGGCTAACCATGATAAAAGAGAAAACAAAATTCATAGCTAGCATGCACATGACCTCCTCACAATAATCTTGTGATATTCAAAATGCCCCCCAAATGGCCAGTTCAGACTCCACATTCAGAAACCAACATTTTTGAGTCCCTGCCACCTCTGATGGGAGGACAAGCATATGGAAAGTGATTCAAGGTCTGAGTGAGATAAAGTTGTACCTCAAGTGGCAGGTGTCCCTAAGGTTTTCCAAGGAACAATTCATAATGCAGAGAGAACACAGCTGTCTCTGATGAACTTTTAACAAAAGATTTTCAGGGCATATCAACCAAACCGACACATCTGGTTTCTAAACGAGGTATAAATACAACAGTGATGCTCTGAGCACCAACTAAATAAATCTAGCATTAGCTTTGGTCAAAAAAAATTTTTTTTTAACTTTATTACTTTTGGCCTCAAAATCTCGCTTGAGAAACTTATTTCACCTGTCAGCAATCCCACATACAGTATTTTTTTTTTTTTTTAACTCCTCTATACTCTATTGTCAAAAAATAAAGCAGGAAATCAAGTCTGGCAAGAAATACAAAATTTAACTTAGTGATTCTTTCATTTCTGATAGGCTACTGTCTGACAGTCTTAGCAATCCTGTTAATTTACAAGAAAGCAAAGGCATGAAGAAGAATACCTACTCTTCCCCTCAAACAAAATCGTCTGGACCACGCCCTGGGAGAAGCATTCAGGCTGTTATTCTAGTCCAAAGCAATGAGAAATAAAGAAGAATAAAGAACAAAGGAAGTATTTTAAGTGTATTCAGTTGTTATTAAAGACGAATTAGAAAGCAAAGCAAATAAATAGAACATACCAAAAAGCCAAGAAAAGAAAAAGCAGTTTGAAAACACTAGGCTTTGGGTACTTTTACATCTCCCTAAATAACCTGCTTGGTAAATCCAATGACTCCACCCTTTTATTTCTAAATAAAATCACTTAAAAGTCTCTCAGAGAGTTTGTAGTTCTCCATCACTATTATTCTCTTTTCCACACAAAAATGAAACTACTCTTTATATTAGCTCATTCACTAGTTCACTGACATCTTATTCAAAGCTAAAATGGAAAGGAGTTCAAATGTTACCATTTCTTTAGGAGATTTTAGTTCTCCACTTGAATGATATACCAATTGGATTATTCAGCCAGTCTAAAGATACAGCGCTTTAAACAATAAATTCAAAAATTCCAAGGTCCTGAGAAAGTGCAGCAACATTCTGTATCAGTTTTGAAACCCCAAACTCTCTAAACACAACAGTCAACCCCACCCCAATAACAACAGATTGATACTCCTCACCACCCGCAAGGGGCCCTATTACCTCAATCATCCTGCTGTCCACAGGCAGGGTGGTGCTGACCATGTGGACATTAGGTGTGGATGTTGACCTCTGCCTCTGGGAGAGGGAACCTTCAGAGGAAGGGCTGGAAGAGTTGAACGTGAAGGCGTGGGGTGTGGAGTATCTGTGCTGGGAACTAGGCGAGGAAGAAAAAGAAAACTCCATGAATGACACGCAGGCCTCCCCACTGTAAATCTTTCAACTAGTTACTTCGTAAGATGCTCTGGGGCAAATCCTACTTGTACTAAAACCCTGGAAAAAATGTTTCTCTCTTTTAAGAGGCTCCACTTACAATTTTTCTTCTGTCTAGGTGCTTCTGCATGCAAAGTTTTGAAAAGGAAATAATACACATGCTTGGAACTCATATGAAAACAATACATTTTAAGTTGTCTTCTTTTCAATAGATCCCCTCTACAGAATACTCCCAAATTTTTAGACCATCTCTAGGAAAGAACAGACTAACATTTGCCAACCATGCCACCAACTACCAACCTAGTTGGAATTTGCCCAGTTTAGAGACTGACTGAGAGAGCTTAAAAGAGAAGTCTTAAATTTAAGACAGTTAGACTATTGAGCATGTCCGCAAAAAGGCCAGCATTTTAGCTACTATGCACCCTCTCCCCACTTAACCAGCTCTAAAAGTCAGTTAATGTGAATTCAGTTTTCAGGATGCCAAAACACAACTGTGAAATTAATCACTGGCCTCTTCCAGTCAAGCCCACTCCCCTATCAACCACAATGGGAACACGCAGCAAGTATAACATTTTCATTATTTGCTCTACAAATTATTTTGAGTTTTGTTCAGATGCAAGTAACACCATGCATGAATTCAAGGAACAGAAGGCTAGTTTTTCTATGAGAAACTGTTCTACTGCCTTGAAAAATTGCCTTCTCAGGAATTCAGTATTTATGCCTTCAAAAGCTTGTCTTCTAGTAATGAAATCTTCAGAAGCAAGTACAATTTCTGATGAAATTTCAAGAAAAATAAGCCATACACAAATGTATATCCAGATATTATTTCAATACAAATTCCTTGTTCTGAGATATGCTGCCTTTAACAATTTCCATGGTAGTTTTAAAAAGATCATTAAATGTTATTCAATTGTATATACATTAAAGTCAGATATTTTTAAAAAGATGTAGATTTTATTTTAGGTTCCAAATTCATGTGTAACACTGAACAAGACATGTGAACTCAACAAAGCTCTAACTTCCAAGCAGGAGAACAGAAAAAAGACAAGTTACACGCAAACTCACAAGCACATTAGAAAGGATATTTATATTAAAAATCTACCTGGACTCTTTTTAAAGATCACAGTCTATTAAATACCATGGTTTCAGCAATGCAAGGCGATAAATAGCATTTCAAAGTTAGGAGTTTTATTTTTATCGGATCACCGCATATAGTTATGGGACTCTTTCCTTGAGGCACAACTTACTACATACTGAGGAAAGCAAAATCTGAAGGTCTTTAAAATGTGATGAGACATTAAGGGATATGCTATGATAGCAGAAGAAAACTGCAGTCTGTGTGTGTCACTTTTCAGAATATAAAAACTACAAGACTACATTTTGCTCTAATACTAGTATTAAGTTCCACAGAAATAGTAAAGCATTTACACAGGGAGAGAAGGGAATGCAAAGGAACTCTGGTCTTTTATATTCAGGCTTTCAGTCCCACCCGCCCCAATGTAATTTTCCAAAGAAAAGCTGTAAGTAAAAAAAATTACCTAACAGGCATCCGGGAAACAGACTCTCGCATCCGACGCATTGTCAAAGAAGGCAGTGCTGGGACCCCACTATCACCAATAGGAGAATTTGGGAACAATCTAATTGAAATCAGAGGAAGACTGAGTTTATGGTTTTTTATAATGGCAGTAATTTTACAGTCAAATTACCTTGTCTTGCAACTCTTGCAAACAGACTACTCAAACATTTTCAGGGGCACCTGGGTGGCTCAGTTGGTTAAGTGTCCGACTTCAGCTCAGGTCATGACCTCACAGTTTGTGAGTTCGAGCCCCATGTGAGGCTCTGTGCTGACGGCACAGAGTCTGGAGGCTGCTTGGGATTCTGTATCTCCTCTCTCTGCCCCTCCCCCACTTGTGCTCTGTCTCGGTCTCTCAAAAATAAATAAATGTAAAAAAAATTTTTTTGGGGCGCCTGGGTGGCGCAGTCGGTTAAGCGTCCGACTTCAGCCAGGTCACGATCTTGCGGTCCGTGAGTTCGAGCCCCGCATCAGGCTCTCGGCTGATGGCTCAGAGCCTGGAGCCTGTTTCCGATTCTGTGTCTCCCTCTCTCTCTGCCCCTCCCCCGTTCATGCTCTGTCTCTCCCTGTCCCAAAAATAAATAAACGTTGAAAAAAAAAAAAAAATTTAAAAAAAAAAAAAAAAATTTTTTTAACCACATTTTCTAGTCACATTTTCATCAACCATTTTAGAGTAGAGGGACCACCAATCCAAATGACTGGGCTTGAATGAGTACAGAATATGAACAATATTGACCTGCCAATGAACCTAATAGCTTCTAGTGTACATTTCTGAACTTTTTTTTTTAAATGAGGGGGGAGAGAGAAAGAGCGAGCACAAGTAGTAGAAGGGCAGAGAGAGGACAAGAGAATCCCAAGCAGGCTCCATGCTGTCAGCATAGAGTCTGACATGGGGCTTGATCTTATGACTGGGAGATCACGACCTGAGTGGAATCAAAAGTCAGATCCTCAACCACGGAGCCACCCAGGCACACCTGTGCATTTCTAAAAAGTACTGGTCCAATATCCCACTATATCAAAATAATGTTTTTTTTTTTAATTCTAAAGTAGGGCACAGTATAACCTAAATCACAAAGAGCTTTTCTGGAAACATTCTGTCTTGAAAACACATAAATGAAAAGACTGAATATGAAAAATAAATGTCATTCAGCACCAAATGTCATAAATAAGAGGAAAAGAGATGACAACATTAATTGGGCATCTTCTTTCCACAAGATGAGCACTTGTGCTCGGCAACTTCACATGCTACCTCAGCTAATCCTCACGAGAACCCTGCAAGGAAGGCAATCCCCTTTCCTCATATGAGTGAACTGAGGCTCAGAGGTGGCTAGTTAGTTAATGGAAACACTGAGATTCTCACCCACTTCTACTAAACTCCAAGCTTGTGCCAGTTAGGCTACGCAAGCAAACACATGTGACTACTACAAAAGCTTTTTAAAAAGGTGTTCCTGTCAGGGTTTAATAACATTCCCTTTGTTTTTCTAGTACTCTCAAAAAGGGATAAAACTTTGACTTTTCATGTATTTTCAATTTAAACCTTACTAAAATACACTTTGTATGAAAATATATTTTGGGAACTGGTTTGTCTCCTGAGGGATTCAAGTACCTGTTGAGGTTTTACATTTACATCATTTTATTTCATTTCATTTTATTTTTAGGTTTATTTATTTGAGAGAGAGGGAGAGCACAAGCAGAGGAGAGTCAGAGAAAGAGGGGGTGAGAGAACATCCCAAGCAGGCTCCACATTGTCAGCATATGCCTGATGTGGGGCTTGAACTCATAAACTATGAGATCATAACCTGAGCTGAAATCAAGAGTCGGACACTCAACCGACTGAGCCACCCAGACTCCCCTACATTTATATCATTTTAAAACTGACGTCTCCAGTTTGAGGTGAAGATAATAGCACCAACTCTGCTTTCTGCTCCTTCTCAATAACAAATGTTTAACATCATTTAACAAAATAAAGAGTTGTGCCTGCCAATAACCTAAAAGATGATACTGTTAAGAGACAAAAGCCAAGTCTTTTGGTTTTCTTATCCTTTTGCTCTTTGCCTCACTGAGTCACAGGACGCCAATCTCCATTTGACAAACAGCAATCCCATCTGCTTGCTTTAGAGGTATGCCACACTCAAACTCCCTGGTTTCACAACTGTCATGCTGCTAAAGTAGATGATATCCAGATCATGACAATTTACTTAGTAAGTCTAAAACCCAGACTCGTTGGTCAAATATACAATAATACCTTCAAGAGAGTTTTTACCTCCCCACCTGCTTATATTCTTTGAGAAAAGAATGGTGCCTTACAAGAGTTGTCTGATATTACTCCAGTCCACACACATAGTAGGTACTTTGGTGCTACAGTGCTCATGAAATTTGTAGCCACAAGTCTGACATCGAAATCCATTTAGCAGGAACTTCTGACAGATGTCACAGAAGGCAAGCTTCAGGAAGGTCTTCCGAGCCTGAAAGAGGTATAAATAAATGAAGAATGACAAGAGACAAAATAATTTCTTTTTTGGCCCCCAACAGATCCCATACATCCAAAAGAGACCCTTATAAAAAAGAATCATACTTCCAACATTTGTAAAATTCACTCCTAGAAATTAAAGTATATATGTGACTAATTAAACTTAAATTGCCTTACTGTAAACATCACAAAACGACAGCTTCAGATAATCCAACAATGCATATGCTTTTGCTTATTACCTCTGAGAAAGTCCAATTACACCAGCTACAACACCCAACACACCACAAAAAGAGAAGAGCTCCACAACTTACAAAGTTGTGTGTTGTGAGGGGAACGTGATCCAGGAAATCTACTTGAAGTTCTTCTCCAATCAACGAGGTGGCATCAGTATTCCAATCTAAACGCGCTTTTTTACTAAAGGCAATTTTTAAAAACATATATAAAAGGCAAATATTTAAACAAGGTAAGAGTTCAACACCAAATAATAACAGCTACCACTTATCTCATACTATATAAATATAAAACTTAATCTCAGACAATACTAACTTATTTAACTCATACAACAAAGCTATGAAGTAAGCATTTTATCCCTATCTTAAAAATGAGAGAATTAGGGCCCCAAGAAAGTAACTTGTTCAAGGCCACACACCAAGTATAAGAGCCTATGTTGGAATCCAGCTCAGCTGGACTCCAAAGCTTATACTCTTAGAATAAAGTTTCTTTTTTTTTTTTTTTTTTATTGTCTATTTTTTATTTTGAGAGAGAGAGCACACACAGGGGAGGGACAGAGAGAGAATCCCAAGCAGGCTCCATGCTGTCAGCACAGAGACAGACACAGGACTTGATGGGGCTCAATTCCACGAATGGTGAGATCACGACCCGAGCCAAAATCAAGAGTCAGACACTTAACCAACTGAGCCATCCAGGTGCCCCAGAATAAAGTTTATTTTAAAACAATGAACTATATGGGAATGCAAGCTGGTGCAGCCACTCTGGAAAACGGTATGAAGCCTCCTCAAAAAACTAAAAATAGAACTACCCTACGACCCAGCAATTGCACTACTAGGTATTTATCAAGGGATACAGGGATGCTGTTTCGAAGGGACACATGCATCCCCATGTTTAAAGCAGCACTATCAACAATAGCCAAAGTATGCAAAGAGCCCAAATGTCCATCGATGGATGAATGAAGATGTGGTATATACATACAATTGAGTATTACTTGGCAATCAAAACGAATGAAATCTTGCCATTTGCAACTACGTGGATGGAACTGGAAGATATTATGCTAAGTGAAATTAGTCAGAGAAAGACAGATATCATGATTTCACTCATATGAGGACTGTAAGAGACAAAACAGATGAACATAAGGGAAGGGAAACAAAAATAATATAAAAACAGGGAGGGGGACAAAAACATAAGAGACTCTTAAATAAGGAGAACAGAGGGTTACTAGAGGGGTTGTGGGAGGGGGTATGGGCTAAATGGGTAAGGGGCATTAGGAAATCTACTCCTGAAATCATTGTTGCACTATATGCTAACTAATTTGGATGTAAATTAAAAAAAAAATTTTAAATTAATTAAAAATAAAATAATGAACTAAAACAATCTCATGATAAAGTAAATATGCAATAAATTGGACTCTGTGACCTTAAAATCCTGTAAGAATCCTGAAATACTAAAGTGGGGTATAAATATTGCTGTAATAGCAAAATTTAATCTTCAATAGCCTACTTCAGTCTAGCAGATACATAAATACAAAGGAATCACAAATGAAATTAATAATAGGCTCACATCTGTAGAGTTGTTTGCAAGGTCTATAAGGTGACAGGGGACTTAACTGTCTCAACATTTACTCTGACACCATTCTTTCTCATTCTTTCTGTGCCTAGAACAAACAACACAGAAAAATAGATACAGTGAAGTAAAAAGTTTCAAAAAAAAAAAAAAAAAAAAAAAAAAGCAGCTCCTTTCTCATGTCTTGTGTAGTCCATCAAGTCCATCAGGCCCACTTCTTAAAAAAAGAATATTCTCATGTAGGGAGAGAACACATATACAGCATAATTCAAACTTCTCCCTTTGCCTACCAGAAGCTGATTCCAGCCATTTTTCTGGTTATCCAATAGTAAATAATCCTTTCCTTAATATAACTCCCTATACAAGGGCTCCAAAGTCCTACTTCATCCTAATGGAGAGAGACAGGGGCAGCCCTGTGTCCTTAGTCTTCAGGTGCTATCCGTCCAGTAGAGAAGCTAGGGTAGCTCTAAACCAACGTAGCCTTGGACAAGACTGGACAAGCCACTCAACGTCTCAGAATCCTTCTAGTCTTTAAGGAGCACTACAGATTGGCTCTGGACCAACCTGGGGCTATACCCAGATAAAACTGACATATGCTTCAAATATCTGCACTTCAACAAACTACCTCCTACACTGAGGGGAACAGCAGAGTGGAATTTTTGCTTGCCCTTTTGAGTTAACTCATTTCCTAGGCTATTCTCTCAAACTGGGAAACTCCTTGAGACAGAAAAGATGGTGAGCTGAAGATCAATAACAGAACTAGCATTTTTCAAGAAGAAAGTAAAGATTATTTCCCCCAATTTGGGGGATAATAATGGATAATTATGGAAGCTATAGGGTTTACTCCTAGCCTTTGATGGGATGCTTCTATCAAGCCACCAGCATTAGAAAGAAGATGAACTATGGATCTTTCCTGAAGCAGAAATTACAAATTATACAGATTGAGTAAACATTAACTGTTATAAAAATGAATGAATGAGGGGCACCTGGCTGACTCAGTCAGAAAAGCATGCAACTCTTGATCTTGGGGTAGTGAGTTCGAGCCTCATGCTGGGTATAGAGCTTACTTAAACACAAACTTTAAAAAAAAAAAAAGAATGATGGAGTGAATTACAAGAGAGTTAATCTCTTGAGGATAGGATTCTTTAACTATACATAATAATGCAAACACTTTCTGAGTATCTATTCTGTCTACTGCATTCCAGGAAACACAAAAATTTTTGCTTTCAAGAAACATATTACCTTACACTACTGTTTCCATCTATGGAATACTATCAACACCTAATATGTATTCTTTTTTCAGTGCAATGTTTCAGCAATAATTTCAAGTTTTAGTATTTTATTTTTCTCAGTTGTCTATGAACAAGGGTATATAAATACATAATATTCTATGACAAGCTAGCACACTTTTTTAAAAATACAAACTTATTATTTGAAGCCAGCAGCTCCTTACTAGTATGAAAGAGGATCTGACTTTTGAGTTCTTACCCTTTATGTTCATGGAGAAGTCTGAACACTGCACAGCACTCCGGCTGCAGGCCCCTCACCTTGAGTGCTTTCATAAGGCAATCATGCAAGCTCATTCCATTTCTCACATTGACCTATAAACAAAAAGCCATCTTTAGAACCAACAAAGGCTGCACATCCTTTGATAAGCATAGTAATAAATGCACCAGTCTGTAAGGGTATGTGAAGAAGATTTATGACAGCATTGCTTGTAATGATAAATACACACATACACACACACACACACAAAGGAAATAGCTGGAATGTCCAGCAATATGGAATGCTTAAATAAAGCCTAAAATATCTGTATATGTCACATTAAGACACTACTATATTATTTATAACGACCTAAAGGGAAGGATGTCCATGATTTATCAATTGTGGGAAAATATTTTTCAGAATAATACAAAGAATAAGATTACTTAAGGGGCAGGGAAACCCATATATGTTTACATATTGTATGAGTATGAAAAGACATACCTCTAGCTATTATCAGAAGAGAGTGGTTGAGAAAGATAAAATTATCACATTTCCCTTCACACTGGTCTAATTTGTTTGACTGACTGAAATGTACATACAAGCAGGAACATCCACCAGAAAAGAAAATATATCAATCTGATCTATAAACATGAGTTTTTCTTTTTTTTTTTTTTTTTTT